AATGATAATAATAATAATAATAATAATAATAATAATAATAATAAAAATGATAATAATAATTGCAATAATAATACTAATAATCATTATCATAATAATAGTAATGAATTATAATAATAAGGATAATAATAATAGTAAATGATATTGATAATAATAATAATAATAATAATAATAATAATAATAATAATAATAATAATAATAATAATAATAATAATAAAATGATAATAATAATGAAAATAGTAAAAATGATAAAATAGAAACAAAGCTAATAAAGACGATACAAGTTTATGATAGAAAAATGAAAAATAAAGGAAAAAGACAACGGTCATAATGATGATAATGATAAAGATAAGAAAATAATAACAATAATAAAAGTAGTAATAATAATAGTAATAATAATGATAATAATAATAATAATAATAATAATAATAATAATAATAATAATGATAATGGTAATAATTATTATAATAATGATAACAATAATAACAATAAGGATAATAATAATGATAATAATGATGATGATGATAATGATAATGAATGATAAAAACGATAATAGAAATGTCAATAATGATAATGATTATTAGAATAATGGTGATGATGATGATGAAAACAACAATGATAATAATAATGATAATAATATTAATATTAATAGTAATAATAATAATAATAACAATGATAATGATAATAATAGTAATAATAGTAATAATAATAATAATAATAATAATAATAATAATAATAATTATGATAATAATAAAAGTGATCACAATAATAACAATGACAATGACAATAACTATGATAATAATAATAATAATGATAATAGTGATAATAATAATGATAATAATAATAATAATGATAATGATAACAATGATAATAATAATAATAATAATGATAATAACAAGGATAATAGTAATAATAATGATAAGGATAATTATAATTATAATGATAATGATAATGATAGTAATGATAATAATATGATGATAATAATGACAATAATGTTAATGATGATAATGATAATAATAACATTGATAACAAAAACAGTAATAATAATGATAATAACTACAATGATAGCAATAAGATAATGATAATAATAATGCTGATGATAATACTAGCAATAATAATAACCATTATCAAAATTATAGCATTGGTAATAAAACTATAAAAATATTGATAGCAGTGAAAATAGCCATAATGATATCGCAGATAACGATGATGATAATGAAAATGACAACAATAATATCACTGTTATCTTTATTATTGAGAGAACTTTCATGGCTCAGCGGAAGAAGGACTGAGCCTAATCACCTTGTGCATATCGTAAACGAGCCAACAGGTGTCCCTAACGACCACACGTGTTCAAGGTCGAAGTGGGTGATATGCACATAACCTTGGAGCTCAGTTACGTAATTTGGTTTGTTGGATTTGTAAAGCTGTTTTCTTTAGTTATTTGGAGATTTTTTTTATTTTTTTTTTTTTTTGTTATCTCTAAATTTGGTTGAGTTTTGCTGATGATAATTATGTTGAAATGACTGTTTGGATTTGTCGTGGTTGTACAAGTTTACATTGTCGTTGAAAGTGTATTGCAGGTACTCCTTGAATGCTATTGTGGGCTGAGAATTGTCTTTGCTTTCATTTCTGACAAACCACTTTTCTTACTAAATATAAAAAGTAGAATTAATTCCTTGAAGTTTTGAGATATCTTGAGAGAGAAAGAGGGGAAGAGAGAGAGGGAGAGAGAGAGAGAGAGAGAGAGAGAGAGAGAGAGAGAGAGAGAGAGAGAGAGAGAGAGAGAGAGAGAGGGGGGGGGGGGCAGAGGCAGACAGAGAGAGAGAGAGAGAGAGAGAGAGAGAGAGAGAGAGAGAGAGAGAGAGAGAGAGAGAGAGAGAGAGAGAGAGAGAGAGAGAGAGGCAGAGAGAGAGAGAGAGAGGCAGACAGAGAGAGAAAGACAGACAGACTGAGTGACTGACAAACAGACAGGCAAGTAAGCAGGCAGACAGAGAAAGAGAGAGAGAGAGACAGAGAAACAGACAGACAGAAAAATAAATCATAAGGATATGTAGAGTGAAGGGAAATATCACAACAAACCCAACACAGACAGACATACTTACAAAGTCGTTAAGAGAGAGAGAACAAGAAGAGAAAGAAAAAGAATCAGAAATAAATGGCATAAGAAAGGTCAAAGAAAAAGAAGAATGAGGAAGAGGGAAGGGACGAAGAAAATTAAATTAAATAGACGAAGAAATAGCAAAGGGATGGGAAAGAAAAAGGAAAAGAATGAGGGAGAAGAACAGAGGGCAGAGGGAGATGCGAGGGAGATGAAAGACAGGAAAAGCAAAGGACGAGAAGAAGGAAAAAATAACAGAAGAAAAAGGAGAAAAGGGAATGAAAGACAAAGATTGAAGTGAAGAGGAAAAAAAAAAGATAAAGGGAAGAAGAAGAAGAAGGAAAATAAACAGAAGGCAGAGAGCAGGTCAGCGGCCATAAACGTCCAGCACGGTTTGCACATCACGCTCCATTGGCGATTACACGAAATGCGTAAGTAGAAGCACTAATGGGCGCCGCGCTGCCTGTCACGACGAAATGCCCGGACGCGCCGCACGGGACCCTGAGCGCGGGTGACAGGCGGGGAGGGAGGGGGGAGGGGCAGGGACGGGGAGGGGAAGGGAGGAAATGAAAGCCTAGAGGGGGAAAGGAGGGGAAAGAGGGATAGTTGTAGGAGAGGGAGGGGAATGGGTGCTTAGATAGAGGGGAAGAAGGTGTAATGGGGGTGGAGGGGAATAAAAGAGGAAAACAGGAGGTAATGGGTGATCAGAGAGGGGAGGAAAGGGAGATGAGGATGAAGCAGGGAGTGAGTGGAGGTTTTAGAGAGGGTAATGGAGGGAAAAAATGGAATAGGGAGTGAACTTTGAGAGGAGGGAAAAGGCTACTAAGAATAGTGGACGTAGGGAAAAGGAGAGAATGAGGGGAGAAAGAGAGAAGGTAGAGGAATATGAAAAGAGTGAGGGGAGAGGAGTGGGAACAGAGACACAGAAGGAGTGAAGGGATGAATGGGAGAAAAGGGGAGAGAAAGGGTAATCTGAGAGCAGGGGGGCGGGGGGGGAACGGAGGGAATAAGCCCACGACAGCAACATAACAGGAAACATAATTGCTATGTTGCTTCAGGGGTATTTTACGAAATTAATTATAGAAAGTGTCTGTATGGGAAAGGGATGGTGAGCGATAGTCTTAAGGCATATCATATACTGGATATAAACTTGTGTGAAGGAGGGAGGAATAGAAAGAGAGAAAGGGAGAGAGTGAGGAGGGAAAGGAAGGAAAAAGAGAGAGAGAGAGAGAGAGAGAGAGAGAGAGAGAGAGAGAGAGAGAGAGAGAGAGAGAGAGAGAGAGAGAGAGAGAGAAGAGGTAGAGAGAGGGGAGGAGGTGCAATATACAGGGAGAGAGAGAGAGTTGAAGAAATGAAGGGGAGAAAGAGAGAGAAAATGGGAAGGGAAAGGAAGGAAAGAGAGAGAGAGAGAGAGAGAGAGAGAGAGAGAGAGAGAGAGAGAGAGAGAGAGAGAGAGAGAGAGAGAGAGAGAGAGAGAGAGAGAAAGAGTGGTAGAGAGAGGGGGAGGAGGTGCAATATACAGGGAGAGATAGAGGGGAGGAAGGGTGTTAGAGAGAGAAAAAGAGAGAGAGGGGCGGGAGAGAGCGAAAGGGGAGGGGAAGATAAAATAGGATATACATTTGAGCATAATAAATAACCTAACAAGTAAAAAAAATGTCTTAGTTAGTCTTACACGTCTCATACAGGATTTCAAAATGAACTATAACATAATTTTTTTCCCTCTTCAGGTCGAGACGTAGAGAACGACAAGGCAGACCTTCAACACATATTAAGAATTGAATCAGAGGTTCAGAGCAATTAAGTCTTGAAATAACTAGATATTACTGGAAAAGAGATAATGGTAGGCCGCTAGTATCATAAATTACTGGATATTGTAAAACCCAAAGAGATTATAGAATAAAATTTGACAGATATAAGTAAATTTCAATGATACTGGATGGTACCGATAGTGAGACATACATACACATACACAAAAAGAGAGAGGAATGGAGAGAGAGAGAGAGAGAGAGAGAGAGAGAGAGAGAGAGAGAGAGAGAGAGAGAGAGAGAGAGAGAGAGAGAGAGAGAGAGAGAGAGAGAGAGAGAGGAGGGAAGGGTGAAGAAAGGAGAGGCAGACAGACAGCATACAGACAGAGACAAAGAAGGAACGAGATACAATTGAAGAGATGAAAGTATATAGAAGGGAGAGAGACGGATAGAGAGGGAAGGAGAGAGTAAGAGAGAAAAAGACAGATAAACAGATAAAAAGGCAGACAAAAATACAGACAGGGATAGAGGGAACACACACACAGATAGGAAGACAGACAGACAGACAGGCAGACTGACAGACAGACAGACAGACAGACAAACAGACAGGCAAACAGACAGACAGATAGACAAAAAGAAAGACAGACAGACAGGCAGACAGATAGACAAAAAGAAAGACAGACAGACAGACAGACATGGACAGAGAAAGAGGCAGAGCCAGAGGGTACTACTTTGTCTAAAAAGTGCGCTTCTGACGAGAGGGGAAGAGTCCAAGTACCATTAGGTTTGATAACACGCAGGTACCTAATAGCTGGAGCGGAAATACACTCGCTGGACTCAATTAGCTTCGTATAACAATCGGTAGGTGGTAAAATCAAACAGGCGCTCACACTGAATTAAAGACATGGTCAGCTTTACTTGTGTGTATAAAGCTCGTGAACTATGTATAAATGCATGGCAGATATGCAGCTCATAGTTATTTCTTATTCATTCTCTTTCTCTCTTTCTTTCTTTCTCCCTCTTTCTCTCTCTCTCTCTCTCTCTCTCTCTCTCTCTCTATATATATATATATATATATATATATATATATATATATATATATATATATATATATACATTGCATCCTTTCAAGTTGCTGAATTCGTTTAATGCGAAAT